AACAGGTAATTATTAGCCTATTTTTTGCATGACGAATTTCAATTGGTTCCTCATTAGGTGGCCCGCTGAGCAAACCTGGTCTGCCAGGGTATTTTATTTATTCCAGGAAAAAAATTACAGTATAATGACAGTGGATATTGGCAATGTCATGTGCTATACTACTATCATAAGTAAATGTGAGCTTCTAAATTGATGCAGAAAATGTATTAAAATTTTAATAATACTATTCTCATCCTTGCAATGTTGACCAGTCTGCTTGAGGTGCTCTTTGAGGCATACATTACATGAGTTAGTAAGGTATTTCTACCTGACTTGTCTGTCCTACAGGTGGGTGTAATGTTAAATAATATAGGAACAAAGACAATTGAATTACTAAATATGAGTTGGTTTTTTTTCTCTAGGTACTACTCTTTTGTATCAACCTGGACTGTTAATAGGTGGAACACTGGAACATGAATGTAGTTTAGATCGAGGCCTTGGCTACTATTTAGAAGCTCTGGTATGCCTAGCCCCATTCACCAAAAATCCTCTGAAAATAATTCTACGAGGTGTGACTAACTGCAAAGAAGACCCATCTGTATGTAGTTTCATGCTTGCTTAGTTTTATAAAATGTTTTTCTTTCTGTTATTTTTGTAAACTATGTATTTGGGTATGAAGTAGTCTTAAGTAATATGACCTTATAATAATAATTTTTAGTCCTCTTTGACCAGTGCTTGCAAGCTACGTTTAATAAAATTAAGATAAAATTAAATATAAAAATGCTCATGAGATTACACCCTGTTTTGACTTTGCTTGTATGTTTTCTTGCAAATCAGAATGTTTTTATTTAATTAATTAATTAATTTATTTATTTACTTACTTACTTACTTACTTACTTACTTACTTACTTACTTACTTACTTACTTACTTACTTACTTACTTACTTACTTACTTACTTACTTACTTACTTACTGACTGACTGACTGACTGACTGACTGACTGACTGACTGACTGACTGACTGACTGACTGACTGACTGACTGACTTGACTGACTTGACTGACTGACTGACTGACTGACTGACTGACTGACTGACTGACTGTCTGTCTGTCTGTCTGTCTGTCTGTCTGTCTGTCTGTCTGTCTGTCTGTCTGTATTTACTTTCTTACTTACTTTTTTTTTTTTTATTGACAAATGACAAATACGAAGTGGTGGCACAAAGCTTAAATGCTTGCACAACAATATTTATGAAATAAATAAACAAGGATCACCAGACAGAATAAAATAAACAAAATGACAAATACCTTACTGATTATAGATTGATTACTGTGTGGATATTAAGATTGCAATTATATATTTCAATTGTCTAATAAATAATCTCAAGTTTTAGGAAATGTACATTTAGAAAATATGCAAAAAATTATATGCAAAAGAATAATTATTGTAATTAGGAATGTAGAACTCATTATCAGTTTAGTGGCCAAGTAAAAACATTAATTATTTTTCTGTTCCCAACTTTTTTTTTTTTTAGGTGGATATAATAAGAACAGTGACCTTACCTCTGATGTCCAAATTTGGAATAGGTGAAGGTCTAGAACTGAAGGTGGGTGAAGCACATTATAATGATTTTTTTGACTGCGTAAACCCTTGTTGGGTCGTCAATTTTCTGTTCCAAAGTCTTTGAATTAAGACCTTAATATTGCAGTATAAAAATAGTTTTACGGTCTCTTTATACAGTCTAAGGTGAGGGTGATGTGGGGAGGTCTTAGTGGTGTATCCAAAACAAAAATTGGAAAATTGGGTAAAAGGAGAAAGAAATTTTTTGTATATGATGTCTGTTCTTTTAAAATATTTTACTCTAAAAAAATGCAATGCCATATTATGGCTGCAATATTTATCTCTATGCTCATTATTATTGACATGAATAAAATTCTGATAATAAAACAATTACTTGGGAAGTAATCCAGTATATGAGTAGTCAGATAATTGTTCATTTTCAGATATTTCAGTCTATTTGCATGAAATGTTAATAAAGTGTTCAATTTCTCATCAGGTCACACGGCGAGGAGCAAAACCAAATGGAGGTGGAGAAGTCATTTTCAAATGTCCAGTTCGTAGGAAGCTATTACCCTTACAATTTATTAAGCCTGGTAAAATTAAAAGAATTCGTGGAGTTGCCTATGCTATGAGGGTTTCACCAGCAATGTCTAATCGCATTGTTGATGCAACTCGAGGTGTTCTCAATCAGTTTGTACCTGACATTTATATATATACAGATCATATGAAAGGGGCTCAGTCAGGAAAGTGAGTTGTACTTTGGTTTTTAATGTTCTCTTATTGATGTAGTATTCAATG